AGTCTGGACCTGCGACCGAGTCATGTCTCTCCTCTGAGTCTAATGATGTGGTATTGTTTGCGATGAGGAAGATGCTCGTAGGCCCAGGCAGACATTCAGAGGTGTTTAATGATAAATCCAAGTAACAAGAATCCAGCAACACATGGAACACAGAGGAACAAGATGTGCAGCGACAGAACAGACGTACCATAGACGAGGACCCGACAAGGAACAAAGACAACAGGTGGACTTAAATACACAGGAAAGGTAATCAGGAAACTAGACACACCTGGGACGCAATTAACAGGGAAGACAGGACAGGAACAGGACTAAACACAGAAAACCTCAAAATAACTACACAGAAAAACACAGATCACAACATTATCACCCCCTCCAGGGCGGCTACCAGACGCCCAAAAAGTCTAACAAAAAACAGTCCATCACTTGTTGGAGGGGCGACGGAAGGAGTGCCAGAGTACAGAGGAAAAAAAACTGAATAACTTAGTCCATAAACAAAAAAAGAACAACCCAACAAAGTGGGCGGAGTACCAGGAGGCGGATCCCTCGAAGGAGGTCCAGTGGGAAGTGGAGTCCTGGAAGTGGATCCGGCGGGCGGCACCAGCACAGGAGGCAGAAGCTTGGGAAGGTCTGTCTGTCTGTGTATCTATCTGTGTGTGTGTGTGTGTATAAATCTAATATATTTATATATAAATAAATTAAATATAAACATCTCTATATATAGATAATATCTATATGTAAATATAGATATTTATATATATCTATATATATACACATATATAAATTTATAAATAAATAAAATGTATATATATGTAAATATGTATGTATGCACGCACCCACATGTATGTATCTATATATGCAAGTATGTATACATACATTCTTACATACATACATACATGTATGAGCTAGCCCTTGCTGTGGCTGTGCAGCACTAACAAAAACCCTGCAGTAAGTAAATACTTAAAGCAAAAGACATGTAACATGTTTTAGAAACACATTGACAATAAACAGTTCGTTATTTCACAACTCAATACGGGAGCCGAGAGCAGAGGAACTACTGCAGCTGACAGTAATACAAAATAAAGTATGCCTTTATTTCTTATCATCTTCAATGTAGAGCCTTTAAAACCACAAAATAAAATCTGAATAT